TCAAATTCAGCTTCATGAGGCAAATAATCTCCATAGAGGTATATATTTCTTTTCAAGTTAAATTAATACTTCTTGGTAATTTTTAATATACAAAGCTTTGAAAGCTACAAACATACTATCTTTGACAAAAATTTCTGCAAGAAAGATGCAAAAGGTGTTTTTATCAAAAATTCAGGGAATATAATTATCTGAAAATGGAGATCTGGCATTCTAAAAGTCAACTAGTTAAAAATGAGCTTTAAAGAATAGGTTGAGCAACTGAAGGTTGTATCTGTTCATTATTTTATAATATCCTAATGAAAATAATTTGTACAAGCATCACTTATTTAATAGTAACAGTTGGTTTCAAGAAAACTAAATCTTTCGTTGTACAAAGTTAGTAGGTATGACTTACCTGATCTGTTAATCACTTTGTTTTTCTTCCTAATGTTAATTGTTATAAGGGATGCCAAAGGACTTTCATACTTCTCTAAAACAGATAAATCCAATTATTTTATTACCTGGTCTTTGCTCAAATTAAGTACTTAAAGTGAGTTTACTCTTAAATCATCTTGTTTTTAGTGAAAAGTCTTGCAAGTTTCAGAAGCAAGGATTTACAACTATGCCCACCATAAGTATGTGTATGCAATTTTCTATGTATGTCGTGCTTTTATCAATATGTAACACAGTCCAGGACACAAATAGGACTTAATAATATCATTTAAAATGAGTGACCTATGTATGGGGTCGTTCAATTTTGTCATAATGTAAAAGACATGTTTTTGTTGTAAAATGGTCATATATGCTAACAGCACAATCTTTGGGTATAACATTTCCAATTAAAGACAGATTGTTCAAAAACATATTTTTTATTTTTAAGAGAAAAATTAAAAATAGCAATAAAACAATTTCAAAACAGGCTGGTAGGAGTGTAACAATAATCAATACATTATGTACTCTTACATTCATAATGTTTGTTCAGAGTACAAGACATAGGCCTGAAATATTGTCCAAATAGGCAAAACTTTTCTTAACTGTTTTGGGCATAATTTTTTTTCTTTTTCCTTCCTTTCTTTCCCCATTCTCCTCACAATTTTTCCTTTGGACAGCTTCTTTGCATTTCCCAATATTCACTCTACATTTTGATCCTATTTACTCATTTAGTTTTTCACACTAGTGAGATAATATATTGACACATGTGGGTCTGATTTTTTTCACTCATGAGTATGGTCTTGATTTGCATCCATTTACCTATAAAGTCTCAATTTTATCTTTCTTTATGATTCAGTAATACTCCGTCACGTGTTTTAAAAAATCTACATTTTTTATCCATTCTTTGGTTGATGGAATTTAGGTTGTTTGCATGATTTAGCTATTACAAATTGTACTGCTATAAATATCAGTGCACATATATCATCATGGTATGATCTCTTTTATTCTACCAGGAAGATACCCAGAAGAGGAATAGCTAGGCTAAATGGGACTTCAAGTCCTAGTTTTTTGAGGAATCTCTACACTGATTTCCAGAATGGCTGCATCCTATATTCCCTGTAACAGTGGAGAAGGGTTCCTTTTTCCTCACAACCTCACCAGCATTTGTCTTTGGTTGATTTTTTGATGATAGCCATTTTTCTAGAGAGGGAATTTTGTTGTTGTTTTAGTTTGTATTTCTCGAATGACCAGCAATGTTGAACATTTTTTCATATAATTATTTGCTCTATTTTTTCCTATGAGAAATGTGTACTCACATCAAATGCCCATTTTTGGATTAGGTATTTGTATTTTGAGGACTAAATTTTTGCAATTGTTTTTATGTTCTAGGTAGAAGCCCTTTGTCTAAGAGACAACTGAACATATTGTTGCACTCTGTGGTGATTTATTTTGTTGTGGAAAAATATTATTTATAAAACAGAAGTGGGATCCCATTTGATTCTTTGTAGTATTTCCTGTGCAGTCTTGGTTTTGTTCATGAAGTCTTTGCTGACACAAATGTCTTTGAGATTTCTGCCTATTTATTCACCTAGTAAATTTAGTGTTTCTACTTTAATATTTAGATCTTAGATTCATTTTTACTTTAATGCATGATGATAGTTATGGGCCTAGTTTTATTTAAAAATTCTCAAAAAATTAAAAATGTAATACAAAGGGATAATGTCAGAATCCATTTACAACAATAGGCTTAGGATAATTTATCTGTTCTTCAAAAAATTTGCAATAAAAATAAAAAGAGATTTTAAATTTGACAAAACAATTTGTTTTCTACTGTCTTTTAAGATATATTGTCTTAGAAATTTAATTTGTTTAGATACCTGTTTAAAGATTTGTTTTACTGATTCATAAACTACTACAGTATGGTTTTTCTTATTTTAAAAATATAATTGCTCTTGCATAATATACTAAATAACAATTACCTTAATATGTTGTAAGACTATTTTGTTTTGCTAAATTTTTGCCTTGTGTATTGCTTATAGTCATATAACTGACAAAAAGCCAGGCTCCACTGTTTAGGTAGAAGACACACACATTAAAAAATATGTTTCTCATTCACTTATACATTAATAGAGATTTAGGCTGTTTCCAAGATTTAGTTATCATAAATTGTGCTGCTAGAAACATTGGTATGCAGATATTGTTGTAATATCATGCTTTTAATTCTTTCAGGAAGATACCAAGCAGGGGAATAGATCCGTCAAATGCAACATTTAGTTTTAGTTTTTGAGGAATCTGCACACTGTTTTCCACAGTGGTGACACCTATCTATACTTGCAATAGTGGAAAACAGTTCATTTTAACCCACAGCTATGCAAGCATTTGTTCTTGGTTGACCTGTTGAAAATATTTGTTGTATCAGGAATGAAATGGAATATTGGGTGTTGTTTTAATTTGCATTGTGGAATGACCAGTAATGCTGTAAATTTTTTCATATATTTATTTACTGCTTGTACTGTTTCATTTGAGAAGTGTCTATTCATTTCAGATGTCCATTTTTTGAATGGGTCTTTAAATTTGGAAAGCTCCAATTTTTAGCTCTTTAAGTATTCCTGATACTAGTCCTCTGAGGAAGCTGACAAAATACTGTTCCCTCACTGTGGATTGATTGTCTTTTGCATTGGTAGCTTTGTTTGCTGTGAAAAAGCTTGTTAATGTGATGAAATCTCAGTTGTTGATTCTTTGTAATATTTCTTGAGTAATCAGGCTTTTGTTTGTAAAGGCTTCATCCACGCCTCCATGTTCCAGAGTTCTACCTATTTTCTCTTTCAGCAGATTTAGTGTTTCTGTTTTAAAATTTGGATCTTTGATCCATTTTTTTTATTTTAGAGCATGGTGAAAGATATGAGCTTTTATCTTCAGCATGTGGAAAGCCAGTTTTCCTGACATTTGTTAAAGAGGTAATCATTGTTCCAGTGAAGACGTTTGGCCCTTTGGTCAAAGATAAGATGGTTGAGTGTATAGAGTTATTTTTGCACTTTATATTCTATTCCATCAGTTTCCAGTTTGTTTTTTGGCCAGTATTATGTTGTTTATTCTTAGTCATGGTAGTTTTAGAGTAAATTTTAATTTGAGGATTATGATGACTCCTGCCTTGTCTCTTCCCTCCCCAGAATTCTTTCACTATTCCAGATCTCTTTTGGTTCCAAATGAACTTCACTAATTCTGTGAAGTATACTACTGGTGTTTTGATCGGGTTGTACTTTTTATACAATGGAGTACTGCTCTGCCATAAAAAGATAAACTGAAAGGTTTCTAGGTAAGTGGATGCATCTTAAAGACCATCCTCTTGGTGCTGGAACTTGGAGGGGGGCAACCAAGAAAGCAATGAGCCAGTCTTCCTGGTACACGGCATGAGCTGCAGGCATGCCAGGAAGAGAACAAGTCAGCATCTCACAAGAATCAGCCATTCTGGAACCTGGGGTACCAACAAGAAAGCAACGGGCCAGCCTTCCTGGTAAACAGCATAAGCTGTGGGTGCACCATGGAGAGAGTAAGTCAGTGTTTCCTGTGAGATTACCAGCATGCAGGCTGAGAATCAAATGTCCCATTTCCCCCTCCCTCCTCATGTTAGCAACTGGATGGTTTCAAGGTCAGCTGGAGTTGATAGGCACTAAGGTACATAAAGCAAGTAAATGCTTGTATTGATTATGCTGACCTGGGGCCAGAGGTCTGAGCATCTCTTGGGAGGATGATGGTATGCAATATAGCAAATATGGGGAATTCCTTGTGTCTTGTCTTTGAGGGCCGATATTGTTTTCACTGTTTTGCTTTGTTCTGTTTTGCCCCATTCAATAGTTTTTATTGGTTTTAGAGTGTTGTTTTTTTTATTTGATTTTGCTACACCTGATTGGACTATTGTGAAGATAACAAGATATACTATGGTAGCTATTAATGTTATCCCGATATCCTACTTTGAAGTTCTGTAACAATTTCACTGCATTGTCTTGATTGGCTTTGTTCTATCTTTGATGTATTTTACTTTGTTGTATTACTTTACTTTGTTTACTTTGTTGTATTTTACTATCTTTAAAATAAAGTAAAATAACAAGACCATACTCTTAATATCTTTAAAATAAAATAAATCATGCTCTTAAGTAATTCTTTAAAAGATCATACTTTTTTGTTGTTGTTCTTGTTGTTTGTTTTTGGTACCAGGGGTTGAATTCATGACCTTATACTTGCCAAGCAGGTGCTTATGCCACTGAGCTAAATCTCTGACCCTTAAAAGACCATAGTCTTAAGTAAAATAAATTGGACACATGTTAAAATATCTCATTGTTTTCCCATATGAGAAACTGAAAGGGCAAATAAGTATCAGATCCTACAATAGATATAGAGAAACAGGAAGAAAAATTTCAAATGGGAAGGGAAATAAGGGGAGGGGCAGAGGGAAATAAAGGGAAGGAAAAGAAAAAAGAGAAGGAAAAAATAGGAAGAAAGCTTTTATAAATAAGGAAGAGATGGGGGGTTGAAGCGAGGGGAGGGTATTTAGGAAAATGAGGAATCAAAATATATTATGTACAGGTAAAGATGTTTATATTCATTTATTTTAAAGTAAAAACTTTTAAACAGTAATTCATGTATGTTACCATACATTCAGTATATAAGGTAAAACCTTTATTTTGACTATTTAACCTTGAGAATTTTCAGTACTTTTCTTGCTTTACTGCTTTTAGATATACATTGAGGCAGGTTATGTCAGGAGCAGGTGAGAAAGGAAAGAAATTCTTTTAGGTTGTGGAAGAAAAAAGGGAAGGATATTCCACAGCATCCTTTGAAGTATTTCATCTATAATGTGAATTATCTAAGGCTCACCTTTTACAGGTATAGTGGTTGATTGTGCCAACTGGAGACATTTAGAAGCTTAACAACTCTACACCCTAGGTTGTAGAAGACCCTCTCTAGGGTGGCTCATCACCTGGACAGTATAAAAGGATGAATGAATTCCATTCTTTGGAGGAGCTCCAGTCTTTGTCTTTGGTTTGGACATCATCTGGCTTCCAGTGTACTCTTCAGCCTTCCAGCATAGACCTTTCAGCCTTCTGTCACAGACGCATCAGCCTGCTGGTGCAGACTTGCACAGGACACTAGGGTAAACTCCAGACCTTGGATTGAATCCTTTGGTCTCCAGCACATATTCAGCCTCTGCATGCTTCCTCATCCAACCCTGTGGCTGACCATTGTAAGCCAATCTCGCAATTTCTTAAACATTTGTATATCTCATTTTATATCTGTTTGCTCTAGTGAAACCCAATACAACAGGTATCACCCGTTCCCAGACAGTAATAATCTAGAGACCAAGTGCATGAAAGACAGGTTTTGGGGGCATTTAAGATTCAAGCTAGAACTTGTATGGATGTGTACTACTGAATTCATCAGAATAAAGAATTCATTAGCCATTCACAGAGATTCTCATTCCATAGCTTATCACATAAGCAGGCATATATAAAATCCAGTTTGTTGATGTGCAAACAGAATATCCTCACTAAAACCCAAAAATGCTGTTGAAAAAAAAAAACAGGATAATGTATAAAGCAAAAATCACACTGATGCATAATTAGGTCACACAATTTGTTGTGCCAAATGATTAGAACATACTGGAAAAGATTTTTGAAGATATTCAGGGAGAAAAAACAAAGGACTGAAAATGTCCTCATTAACAGAAAGTATCTGAGCATCATCTCTCTTCAAAAGCAAACCAAAGGAGAAATTTAAAACACATGTATTTTCTTCCTCACAAAACTAAGAGACAGAACAAACAAAATGCATACAAAATAATCTAGGAAAAGTGACAAGGATTAAATCAGTGTATCAATACAAAATTAATGTCACTTATGTCCAAAAGAATAAGAAAATCTGAATTTTGGAGAAAACAATAAAGTGTTACTCAGTTAAGTGCAATGAAGAAAAAATTAGTAATGAGGCATATTAAGAAAATTGAGTAAAATAATACACATTGAACAGTCATTTCTGAGATGATCTTAAACACATTACCTTTCATCCCTGTGAGTGGGCCTTCAAAATAAAAACATGAGTACCATATCTGATTCACATGTAATATAATATATTATTGCTGACTAAAAAAGACTTAAAGAAATAAAATTATGTGAGGTCATAAGTTCAATCCCCGGTACAAAAAATAAAATAAAATTGCAAACATACAGCTATTCTGAATGGAATTTCATTAGACATTTCTGAAAACTAGAAACATATTCTTTTTTTTTTTTTGGTGACAAATTTAAATCTGAAGAAAAAAGTGTAAATTATGAAACTAACATGAACTTTATAGAAATTTTGAGCACAATGCCATCTTACAGAATTCAGAAAATACCCTCACATTGTAATACCCATAAACCTATAGGGACAACTACTGTGTCCATTGAAGTATATAAATATTTTATCAATTTCAGCTTCCATGTCTTATTTTTTTCTCATTACCGGTGATGGCAATGAACCAAGGTTCTCGGGCAAATTATACAATCACTCTACCAGTGAGCACTATTTATAGATTCACCATGTTTTTCTGATTGAACTTATTAGATAGCATGAACGATATTTTAACATCAATTTTTAAAGTAAACAAAATTATAATCCTGCCCTAGTTCACTCATGTTTGTAGAACATAAAGGGAAGTGTATGGTCATTAACATGTAATTGCAATATATAAATGTAACGTCAAAATATATTGAATTTCAGTATTTGGGAGGCTAAGGCAGGAGGATCATTGTGAGTTTGAGACCAGCCTGGGTTACAAGGTCACCCTGAGCATCAGTGAAACTCTATTTCAAAAAGACCAAACAAAAATTAAAATTAGAATATATATATATATATATATATGTATATATATATATATACATATATATATATATATATACACATACACACATATATCGAATGTATTTAATATCTAATTAAAGTTTAAAAACACAATAAAACTCAAAAGCAATTCATAAAATCAGTCTCCAAAGCATAAGATGATGGTAAGCATGCATAGGTCACAGCCCAGCTGGGGACTGCCTTCCACTAGCTGCTTCCCCACTTCCTACTGGACCTGGCATTAGACATGCTGTATATTCTACTACTGATGCAATGTCATCTTCTTTGTATCTTATGAGGAAAACATGCTCAAATAATTTCAAGACAAGGTACTCTTACTGAAGTCAAGATAAAAACCTTTTGGTTTTTAACAAATCTGTTGAAAATTTCTAATTGTAAGGTTATTTATATTTGGATTGTCCTTTTTCTAGGAACTTGAGGTGCACCATTAGGTTGCCTATTTAGATTTGCTTTGTTTTTCTGATGTGGCCATTCACACCCATATACTGCTCACCTGTCCTGGGGTATTCTTTACTTTAGGCATTTTGCCATTGTTGGAATCACGGCATGAGATTAATCATATGCATTGCTTTTGAATTTCATATTTGTGACATGGTGATAAGACACAAATATGAGGTTCATGGGTTTTTGTTTTTTGTGGTTGATGTACTTGGTAAGATGGAACGAAGGCTTGGGAGAACAGAAGCAATGATGAAATGCAATACTAAAAATTATATAGTCATATAAGCAGTGAACTAAATGTAACAGGTCTGATGGAATAAACTAAATACAGGTTTTTATTGTTCTTTATTAAAACACAAAACTTTTACCCAAGTGTACCAGAAAATAAACTATATTAATGATTTTTTGTATTTTGAGATAAAGTCTCATTAAGTTGATCAGACTGGTTTAAATCTTGCAATCCTACCCCATATAATCTTCCCAAGTATGTGAGATTACAGACATGATCCACCAGGATGAGCAAAAATCTGATAAAATGTTGGCTGAGTTAATGTCCTCAGGATGAAGTATCTTCTACTATCACCATTTCATCTCTGGCTGGAATAGTAATATGTACTATTCAAATTCTTTATGATGATAAGAACTAGAAATGAACTGCAGTGAAATTAGCCACATGTTCAATGGTGTGAAAAAATGATACTGTATCCTGCAATGCAGTGCATTTCATGAATTACATGAAAGATTTTATTTTTAATATATATAAATAGACTTCATTTTGATAGTATTGACCATCTTGGCCAGTTGCAGTACTAAGCATAATTAAAGTAATGCATACTGCTAGTACATTAGGAGTCTTCAATGCATTTTTCACTTGTTTTCACCTTAGTTTAGGTTTTTCAAAATATAATCCCAGGGAAAATTAAGCAGCTTCTGTATTCATGGGGAAAACAATCTAGATCACTAAACAAAACCTTCAATGTTAGGAGGAAAGACATAATTCAATGATTCCAGAAGTGGCCTCATGCCACTTTTACAAATCTTTATGCGTTCAGAAAGTTATCATTTACCTCGGCCATCAGTGGCCCTTACTGATGATAAAAGGAGCATTGCCTGTATTTATCTCTAAAGTTAGTAAAACAGAACAGTTTGAATTACAAAAATTATTAAATTTCCCATTTTTACTAAACATTGATATTTTTAGATTCTACTTCACGCCTTTATTTCAATTTCCTAAGTAAAAAAAGAATGGCTACCGAAGACTAAATGGTGTATGTAGTATCAAAGAACAGAACAAAGGATTCTGCTTTATTATAAAGAACAGAGGGCCATGATTTAGCTCAGTGATCTAAGTGCCTGACTGGCAAGCACAAGGTTGTGATTTCAATCCTTGGTACCAAAGAAAGAAAGAGAAAAAGAACAGAAATTATTCTTGTCCAGCATGGTGGCTCACTCCTGTAATGCCAGCACTCAGGAGGCTGAGGCAGGAGGACTGTTGTAAATTTGAGATGACTGGGTTATGAAGTGAGCTCAAGGCTAGCCTGAACTGTATAGTGAGACCATGTCTCAAGACCAAAAAAAAAAAAAAAAAAGTAGAAATCATTCCTCAATTGCTGCGTATGTTCTTACAGACAAATCATAAATTCATAATTTATAGACTAATTAATATAATTAGCATAATTCATTATTTCCTGTTTGACAGAAGTTACATTGTAGCTAGTCTCCAGCAGTAGGGGGCCCACAGCTCTGTGTGTGTGTGTGTGTGTGCATGTAATTGATCTAAAAATTATCATCAAAACAAAATGTGGCAACACTGGCATGAAAATAAAAGTTACATAGTAAAATGCTTAACATTGTATAAACATAATATTAGCTCACAAAACAGACAAAATGTGTACTGGATATAATCTGCAATTATTTTGCAATACATACAAATACCTTCAGACAGCTTCAGAGAATAGACAAAACAGTATTTACTAAGCTACAATTGTTTTTGGTACTGGGGATCGAACTCATGACTTTACATTTCACCAGGCAGGTGCTCCTGCTACTGAGGTATATCCCCAACCCCTAAGCTATAATTTTTTGAGAAGAGTTGAACTCAGTGCAAAACACATGTAGGCTATATTATTAAATATACATGATAAGGTATCATATCCAATTTGAAACTTGTTTTGGAAAAGAAAAATGAAGTGTACATACCAAGAATTCAGGCAGAATATAATGGGAAAATGACAAAATTTAGATTTCAGTGCCCCTACGTAACTGAAAGCAAAACAACAAACTCTACAAAAAGATGGAACCTACTAACACATAAATAATTTCATTCCCCTGTGGAACTACTACAGTTAACTTTCTCTGATACTATTTAAGTGCCACAATTGCTGGAAAACTGAAGTATTTTCCATATGGCTTACATACATGAAGTCTTCCTCCAGTGTATTTTTTCTCTGACAGTGACTGATGAAAGTTTTCCTTCATTGCCTTCACACATAATTGTTGGGTTTCTATATAGTGTGACTCCCTTTGTGTTTATACAATGAACTGTACTTAGTGAAGGCTTCTCCACATTGCTTACATACAAAGGGTTTTTCTCCAGTGTGACTCTTTTTATGTCTATAAAATGAACTCTTATTAGTGAAGCCTCCTCCACATTGCTTACAAACAAAGGGTTTTTCTCCAGTGTGACTCTTTTTATGCCTATAAAATGAACTTTTACTAGTGAAGCCTTCCCCACATTGCTTACATACAAAGGGTTTTACTCCAGGGTGAGTCTTTTCATGTCTGTAAAATAATCTCTTATTAGCGAAGGCTTCCCCACATAGGGTACATATATAGGGTTTCTCTGCAGTGTGACTCTTTTTATGTCTATAAAATGAACTATGATTAGCAAAGGCTTCACCACACTGGTTACATACATAGGGTTTCTCTCCAGTATGAGATCTTTCATGTGCCTGGCAATTACTCTGAGTGGTGAAAGCTTTTGGGCACAGCTTACATACATAAGGTTTTTCTCCAGTGTGAGATTTTTCATGCGTTCGACAACTTTTGTGAAGCCTAAAAGCTTTCCCACACAGTTTACATACATACGGTTTTTCCCCAGTGTGAATGGTTTCATGCATACGAAATGAACTGATACACAAGAATACTTTTGCACAATGTTTACATTCATAGGGTTTCTCCAAGGTGTGACTTTTTTTATGTACATAAAATGAACTGTTACTAGTGAAGGCTTCCCCACATTGCCTACACACATATGGTTTCTCTCCAGTATGAACTATTTCATGTGCTTGACAATGATGGCGCTGCTTAAAAGCTTTCCCACATTGCTTACATACATAGGGCTTTTCTCCAGTGTGCGTTTTTTCATGTGTTTGACAATTACCACGATGCGTGAAAGCTTTCCCACATTGCTTACATACGTAGGGTTTCTCTCCAGTGTGAATTCGTTCATGTGCTTGACAACCACTGTGACTGCTGAATGCTTTCCCACAATGCTTACATACAAACGGTTTCTCTTGATTGTGATTTCTTCTATGGATGCACAATGATTTGTTGTACATGAATGCTTTCCCACATTGCTTACATTCAAAAGGTTTTTCTTGAGTCTGATTTCTATGGATACAAAAGGATTTGTCATGCATGAATGCTTTTTCGCACAGCTTACATGCTACAGGTTTCTTCGCAATGTGAGTTTTTTCATGTGCCTGACAATTACTGCGTCTGTTAAAAGCTTTTCCACATTGCTTACATATATGAGGTTTCTCTCCAGTGTGAGTTATCTTATGTCTACAAAGTGAAGCACTAACAGCGAATGCTTTTCCACACTGCTTACATACATAGGGTTTCTGCCCCGTGTGAGTTCTTCTATGTCTGAATAATGAACTGTAATGAAGGAATGTTTTCCCACATTGCTTACATACATACGTTTTCCCCACTTTGTGAGTTCTTTCATGTCTACGAAATAAAGAGTGATTAGTGAAGGTTTTCCCACAGTTTTTACATACATAGGGATTTTCTGCAACGTGAGGTCTTTCATGTGTTTGAATATTGTGAGAATTAAAATCTTTTCCTCTTTGTGTGCACACAGAGATATATGCTCCACTGTGGTTTTTGTCACTGAGTGTGCTGAAGGCTTCCCTATCTTGTTTACATGCAAAGGCCTTTTTTCTAATATGAGTTCCTTCAGTGGAATCAGAGTAGGCTTTTCTACATTGCTTATATGCACAAGATTTCTCTCCAGGACTTATCCCTGCATTCTTCTGAAAGGACTGGAAATCACTGCAGATTTTCCCATGTTCCATACTATTAGACAGCTTCTCTTCAGATCCCTGATACTCATATAGTTTGGGTGCATTATGAGCACTGATGGGCACATCTAATGATGAATGATCAATCAGGGGAATTCTGCAAGGAAGGCTTTGAGCTGGTTTTGTATCAAGTGTTTTCATATTGACATTAGGATATTGAGTCCAAAAAAACATTTCTTCAGGTTGATTCAGTAATTTATATTGACAGAATTTCTCTATGTCTTCACTTCTACAAAAGACAAAATAATAAAACAATCAATCATATTCAAAACTGTCTTATTAATGATTTACCTGGAGATAATATGGTATGATGCTACTTGACCACATTTGACCCATGAATTTAATGTACACTCTGGAAGATGGCTTGATAAAAACTTTTATTGAAAGTACTCATTTGGGAACTTATAATTCACATGTTTACAATACATAATATTTACTTTGATTTTGGGGAACAGATATATACTTATTATTTTCATGTTGTCCATGAAGCCCTTTCCCTTCCATTTAACCTCTTCCTCTTCCTCTTCTGCGAAAACTGTGCCTCTTTTAGTTTTACCATCATTTCACACTTTACTCCTTAATTCTTATTTTGAGTTTCTCATACAAACTATACCACATGACATAGAACTGTCTGTGTCTCATGTATTTTCACTTAGTACTATGATTATTCCAAGAATAATCCATTCCTTGGATAAAGAATACCATTTCATTCTCCACTGAATATAAGTCTACTATATATATATATATATATCTCCCATTATTAAATTCCCTGCTCCTTATTTTTATTTTGAGATAGTCTCATCAGCCATTAAGTTATCCAAGTTGAGTATCACAACATGATCAACCTGCCCCCAGGGTGCTAGGATTTCAACGTGTACCACCATGCCTGGACTATCTCTCTTACATATTCTTAACCTGCTCATCTGTGGGTAAACATCAATGTTCTTTCCTGAGCACAACTACTGTGAGTTGTGTTATTATAAACATGGATGTGCATTTATCATTCTAATATGATTACTTTAACTTTTGACAGAATATAACCAGGTGAAGTTCAACTGGATGAAATGAAAGTTTTACTTGTACTTTTCTAAGAATCTCCATAAATATTTCCATGCATGTTGTACTATTCAGCAATTCTACCAACAATATAGGGAGGTGCCTTCTAGTAATTTTGGAAGAAGGGACTGAATGCTATGGGATTACTTGAAAAGAGCTACTATCAAAACAGTAATATTCAGTTCAATTTTGAATATTTCCACAATGTAGCAATTTTTCAAATACTGAATTGCTTACTACCCATAAATAATGGTAGCATTTTTTATACAAATTGATAGCACAGTGCGATTTGGAAAATAGATCAATAGTTAAATATACATCCAAACTTGGATTCAAGTCTAAACACAAATTTGTTTCACATAAAACTATAGTCAATGCCTAAACATAATTTCATACAACATTTCTGTAACTTTGAATGTGGAAAAACTTTGTTTATTCTGATACACTAAGTGATGTAACTTGTGTCATGTTGATATTTGCTAAATTTCCAGTATTAGAATGTTTTGGATACTCAATTATCACATTATAGATATTTAAACTATGTGAATTTTAGGAGAGTTATAGAATTAAATAAAATTTTAACTGGGCCTCATTTATCACTTGCATGGTTTTAAAATTTGTGCACACTTCCTGACTCTTGAGGAATATTACTTTAGATTATGAGTTCAAATTACCTTAGATTTCTCTTCCAACACTTGTACTCATCTTCAATTTTTTTATTATTACAGTATCGTCCTAGGGTGTAGAGAGAAAAATATAATGATTAATTGCCACAACAATACATAAAAATTAACAATTTTACTTGCATTCAAGGTATAATGTGCCCATACCTAAAATACTCATCAAAATGTCTTCATCTTCCAATGAATGAAACTGTACTAGTGAGCAAGAAACAATGCTCCCTAAAAATAATTAGAAAATAATATCTTTCTTACCTATGGCAGCAATGTTCTTAAGTGTTTCTGACATCACATCTCTGTAGAGCTTCTTTTGGGATGGATTCAGCAAAGCCCATTCCTCCACAGTGAAGTTCACAGTCACGTCCTTAAAGGTCACTGTTTCCTAAATCACCACACACATATTTGAAAGAACAAGATTAAAACTCACAGACATGGAACATTTTAACTCCACTCATGAAAAGTTGAAATAAGATTGAACTTTTAAATGTTTACTCCATGTTTTGGTCATCAAATACGTTCTCTGACTACACACAGACATATTTATACATTCAGCCACCTTCTTTTTGATAAAAGGACCAAACATGCTCACTGGAAGGAAGATAGTCTCTTTAATAAATGGTGCTGGAAAAGCTGGCTCTCCATATGCTGAAAACTAAAACTAGACCCAAGCCTTATTCTAGAGTAAAAATGGATCAAAGGTCTAAATATTACAACAGAAACATTAAATCTGCTGGAAGACAAAATAGGTATAAATCTTGGACACATAGGGGTAGGCAGAGAATTCATAAACAAAAATCAATCTGTGTGGGAAATAGTTCCTAGAATCAGTAACTGGGACCACATTTTTTTAGAGTTTCTGCATGTCAAAAGAAATCTCCAAGAGAGTAAAAAGGAAACCCATCAATTGTGAAAAAATCTTAGTCAAGTGTTCCTCAGACAAAGGGCTCCTATCTAGAACATATAAAGAATTTTTTAAAAAATCAGACCCTCAAAATTCAAAGACCCCATCCAAAAATGGGCATCTGAGATGAATACACAGTTCTCAGATAAAGAAATACAAATGGTAAGTACCTGAAAAAATGTTCAACATCATTGGTCATTAGAGAAATGCAAATTAAAACCACACTGAAATTCCATCTCACTCCTGAAAGAATGACCAGGATTAAGAAAATCATCAACAACAAATGCTGGAGAGGCTGTGGGGAAAAAAGAACTCTCCTGCACTGTTGGTGGGCATGTAGACTGGTGTAACCATTGTGGAAATCAGTGTGGAGATTTCTCAAAAAGCTGGGATTGGAAGTCCCATTTGATCCAGCTATTCCACTTCTAGGCATATTCCCAGAAAAACTAGAAACATCATACCACAGTGATATATGTGCATCCATTTTATAGGAGCACAATTTGTAATAGCCAGATCCTGGAAACAATCTAAGTGTCCATCAACTGAGGAATGGAAAAAAAAGTTGTGGTATTTTTATACAATGGAGTACTACTCAGCTATAAAGAATGATCATATTGAGATACTTAAAAGTAAATAGATGCAACTTCAGACCATACTCATAAGTGAAATAAATTAAACTCACACGAGTAAATACTGTATTGTCTCTCTAGTGTAAGAAATGTTAGGTAAGAGTATAGAAGATACAAAGTCCTCAATAAACACAGTGAAAGAGTAAGAATCTTCTCCAGGGGGGAAAAATAGAATCTCAGGGAAAAGGAGGAAAAAGAAAAAGGAGGAGAAAAGAAAAAAATGCCTAAATTTGTATAAACACACTTAGGATAGCTAAGATGATTGTGCTACAAATTCTATAAGTTAGTGGGACAAAACAGTTAACATTCATAGAATTGGAACAATTTTGCATGTTTGTTTCTGAGGAACTCTTGAAGATCACTATGTAAAATAACCACCTTAGTTCTGTTCCCACCACCTTGTTTTGAAGGCCTATATCATCATTGTTTTAGGCTCTTTGTTATTGTTATTTATCTTTTTTGTTTCTTGTTTTTCTAGTAATCTGTTTTGTTTTTCCTGTAATGCAGATAGGATAAGTATATATGTAGAGGCTTATAAATACCTAAAATTTCTATACAGTTTGAGAATTGATTATATTATGCATGATGAAATGAACAGCTACCTTGAAGAAAAAGATACTTTGTAGTATCCATTGCTGATTTTGTATCATCATGCTGGGAAATCCAGTCATGCTTTTATTCTTTCTTCAGAATGGTGTTGGTCTGTTTTGTATTATTTAATTTCAACATAGATGAAGGTATAGACAGCTATTTTGAAGAGGAGAAGAGACATGATTGCAGCTATTGTTGGTTTTCCTATTGTCTGGCTGTGAAGGCCTATAATGCCTTCATTACTCTGTTCTCATCAGTTTTATACTCTTGTTTTATATGAATTTATTGTGTGTGAAGATACAGACAACTACTCAGAAGTAAGTAAGAAACATTACAGTAGTCCCTATACATTCCTGTTTTCTTGCTTTGAAGTCTATGTCACATTGTTTTCTTCCGATCTGCTTTTTTTTCTATTTTGTTATGTTTAGTTTTACTGTCTTTAAAATTAAATTAAAAAAGTAAATTTGATAATAATTTCAGCCATGTGACCACCAGAATGAAAAGAAAACTTTGCTCCTGAATCAGCAGGCATGAACACATGAAGCATAAAGAGACACAACATACTATCTGTAATGGTTTTCTGTGTTATTTCTCTGGTGCCCACTTACTGAATATTTCAAGGGGGGAAAACTAAAAGAACACTGCCAATTGGCAATTATACATAGTTAACTTAGAAAAAAAAACAATAGAAATATGGCAGTAGTCATCTATGAGAAATACAGGGTAAGTCAAACAGACTTTCTCTGGATACTCATGAACATTGCCCAAGGCCAAGCTATTAAACTTTCTGAGGGTTCCCAGAATATTTATACTATTATTGTTAAATGTCACCAAAAACTTTTTGATAATAAAATTTACCATAAAATATTTAAACACTAAATTACCACAAGGAAAGCAATTAATTTACACATGTACAATTACACTTTAATATACAAACTAACTTAAAATTCATAAGCCCTGAGCACTAATGCATGCACTGTCTCCAAACTGGAAAAGAAATAAAGTTGACAAAAGTGTAAATTATTCTGAAGTAACTCAGGAGCAGAATAAGGGTAGGAAAAGTTTACCTGTCCTCCTGAACAGGGACTACAGAAGTTTGAGAGTTAAAATGGGGGCAGATTTTAAATGTCCTAGCTTTTTGCCTTGTACTTCCTCAAGCACTGCCATGCTCTCATACTGATAATCTGATAAAACCTGCTTCATGCTTCAAATAGAGGAAGAGGGTTGGGAGAACAAAACCATAGAGAAAGTTCTGGTGGTTAAATACATTCTGACTTGAAAAATCAAATAGGAAATAGTTCCCCAAAACCTAAACAACTGGAACATTTCTATATACAAAGCCTTAGCACCAGTAAAATATCCCATTTCTCCCACTTTGAAAAAGGAGAATGTGATTTTTAATTTTGGCTTATTATACTAATCAAATGTTCACTTGTGAACAATAACACCACCACCAAAAGAATTTGGAGGAAAAAATACGGTTCAAAAATGTAAACAAATGAATTAAGAAAAACAGTATGCTGAAAAGATGAATGAATTATCTATCAAAAAGCAATCCAGCAACTGTTTAATAGAGACGAACAAAGAGAAAGATCTAAAGAATAACAGCAAAAGTCTTTGTATAAAACATATCAGCAAGCCAGGGATTTAGCTCTGAGGCATAAGTGCCTGCCTTGCAAGTGTGAGGTTGTGAGTTCAATCCCTGGTACCAAGAAAGAAAACAAACAAAACTAAAATAAATCAGCAAATAATCAGACATTATCACCAAGCCATAGAGAAGTTACATAAGTGCATACTTGAAATTAATTTACTGACATAGATTCTAGCTGTATTAACCAACACATTACTTACCTATGTATAACATCAATAAATCTTCTTTGTTGCTAGAGCTACTGCCATAGGATGGGTGACATAAATTGTACATGGGAAGGAAAGTACTTGTGAATATGTCAAAGTACATGAATGACTCTGAAATCACATGTTATTTCAAAATGGGTTTAAGTAAGTTGTAATTGAGTATTTTTAATGTGGAAAAATCAAGAAAAAATTAGGACACGTGTATTGGATGTCATAATCAACAACAGAAAATGGATATGTATAAAATGCCCAAATAAAATAAACAGCGAGGTGGGGCATGGTGATGCACATCTGTAATGTAAGTACTCTGGAGGCTGAGTCAGGAGGATCACTGCGAGTTTGAGGCCAGCCTGGCTACAAAGTGAGTTTGAACTGCATAGTGACAACCTGTCTCAAAGACAGAGAGAAAAATAAAGAGGCAAAAGTGGAAAGGTTGAACAAAATAAACAAAACTAAACCAAGTGAAATTTAATAAGAAATAGTAAATCTTCTTTCATGTATGTATTATTTGATTGAACAATTAGAATATAAAATACAAAGTAATACAAACAGAACTAGTCTAGTACTGATTCAAAAATGTATTAAAGTTATATTAGTCTCAAACATAATAAAATAATACCTTATGCACTTTATCGAACATGGTGCAGTAGGAACACCTGGCTACTCTCCCTTAATGTCCTGTGGCTGACAGAGCAGACACTCATCACTGCCTTCCAGCATTGGTATTGCACCATGCACCACCAATATGAAAAAATCATAAAATACAAAGGTCAAAACCAGTTTTCCACTAAATTCTTATTTTTCTTTTATACTGCAGTTTTGGTGACTGAATTGTGTGTGTTAGACAAGTTACATCCAAGAGGAGGCACATCTCTAGTAATTTTATATTTAAACAGGGCCTTGCCCATATGGCAAGGTTGGACTTCATGTGGTAACAGCCCACCTCAGTTTCTCATGTTGCTGACACAGAGGGTGTGCACCACCATGCCCTCTTGAGGTTTAATTTAGTGGAGGCCTACAATGCTGGAGAGCAGTGGTAATTAAAGAACCTATATCTTAGCCAGGCCTCTTGTTTTCTCAGCACTCCAAGAGATGGAGAGCAGATAGAAACTGTAGTGTGGGCAATGTATCAAGAGCTAATTTCAAAATGCAAAACCAGTAAAGAAGAAATTAAAAGGTGTCAGAAATGCAGATCAAAACAAAAGTTCAGAGTTCTATCTCATGTACAATGAAAAGATCAATGATGCCTTGCAATCTTTTGGATCCTGAAGAAATCCTTTCCAATCACACTTAGATGATAGTGTCTACCTAGTTTTTAAGCCCACAACAAGGCCAATTTCTATTCTAAGGAATTTCTATAATTTTCAATTCCTCAAAAATGATTAGGTTGTTTCATCAGTAATAAACAGACATACTTATTTAACATTGAATAAATTCCCTCTTTTCTTTCATGCCCAGGTAACAGTTTCAGTTACAGTTCCTGTTACTTTTGTTTCTTAGAAATGGTTGGTCACCCTGATGTATACTGAAAGAACCAATCCCCAACTGACACGCCATTCTGCCTCTGTGCTTTCTGCTTGTTTATCCCATATAAGCCCTAGACACCAGAGATGATGATCTCATTAATCCTGATCATTGTCTATTGATGTAAATAAATCTGCCTCCAAATCCTGGGTGTCATTTCAGTGTTTCTGTTTGCCATAGGAAAAAAATCTTAGGGGAAGACCTTATCTGTTGGAAGTGTTGATTTTGGGACTACACAGCATATTCTTCACTTCCACTTTTTCTTCTCCTAACTGCTCCATCTTAAACCAAAACTCATTTATTCTGAACCACTCTTATTCCTGCAGACCTTAATGCTGGAGCTCTACTCCATCCTCCACAGTACTTTTTTAATATAAAGTCCACCTCAATAAACATTTCAATTTTTAAACAATATCTACACACAGTACAAGTACTATAGCAATGACATGAGCTGAAACCTCTCTTGTTGCTATTCCTGCCAAATCACAAGTCCCTGTTGCTGCCCCATTTCAAAGTTTCTCAGTGTGGGTTTAACATTCAGACCCTTCTGAAAGTCGCCCTTAGCATGGTCACTGTCTTGGTTATTTTTTTACTTGTCACTGAGACAAAATACCTGATCCCCCAAGTTGGGAAAGGAAAGGTTTATTTTTTACAGTTTTTGCTGGTTTTAGTCCATACTTAGTTGGCTCCAAGGCAGGGTGGCATGGTGGGGCCACAGTTCATGGTGGTTGCAAACAGCGAGGTGGAAACTGGCAAGAGAAAGACATACGTTTTTCCTGTCATTACATTGTATGTGAGCTCCACCCCTATGTGGGTTAGCATTGACACCATCAATCCAAACACTAGAAAATGAACCAATCACAAATGTACAATGCCAACTCATGAGGCCTAGTGGCCACTAACATAAACCATGACATTTTACCTCTGGCCCCAGGACTCAGGTACATCTTTTATACAAAAGACTTTTAGTCCATCTCTAAGAGTTGCCAAAGTCTGAACAGTTTTAGCATTGCTGAAAACTCTAGGCCTCAAGTCTCTTCTAAGATCTATGGCAAACTCTTAACTGTAACCCCCATACAAATGAAACAAGGTTAAACATTTCTGAAGCGCAAATGCACAAGAGAAACATTACCATTCCAAAAGTTATAAACAGGGTAATATAAAGCATTGGAAGTAAAGGAAGTCCAACATCCAGCAGGGCCAACATTAAGCCCTAGTTTCAGGCTCAGCATTTGAAGCAATCTGGTTACAAGCTCTAAAAGGCTCCCAACTTTTTAAAAACACGCTCTCTGCTCACTTTTTGCAGCTTTCCTTGGATGATCAACGTTTTTGGCTTTTTTAAACTTTTGGGGTCTCTACTGCACCTTTGGCTTTACCCTTACATCTTTACAAATTGCCCTCTCAGGGGCACACTGTTTGGCCTCTCAGGCCCTTTGCAATCTAGGTGGAAGCAATTTTACCCTCAGAATTTGTGTGGTTTTTTTTTTTTTTTTTTGTACTTAAAATCAGCACCATGTGGATGTTGCCAAGGTTTGCTGCCAGCTGAAGCAGTAGCCAAGCTTTTTTCTCTCTATAGGGGTGGATTGCCTGGATCATTGGGCTCTATAAACCTGACTGTGAAGAAAAGCTTCTCTATGTTGCCACCATTGTGGACCCTCATGTGGACCCTCCATCTCCATTCTGGCACGTGGTGTTTTGCAGCTTTTTTCTCTGAGCAAATTTTTTCACTTTTGCAGTTTTGAGGCTGCAAAGGCTGGAGACCTACTGCTTCCTGGGATGCCCTATGGCCATCTTTTTTATCTCTTTGTTTCTTCTCAGCATTCAAAGTCTTAACTCTTATCTTTATAATCCACAACTTTACTGGAGTTTTTCTTCTGGCCAAAATCACAGCATTGTAAATTATCTTGCTGGGCTCTTTGCTCTTGATTTGAAACATAAAGCTGGCTAAAAGCCCCTAACAATAGCCATGTCACATTTGATTGCCTTGAAATTTCCTTTGCCAGATTAATCAGTCCATTGTCCTTAGTCTCAAGTCTCAGGAAAAGTCTCTGGACATGAGTAAAATGTTGACAAGTTTTCTGCCAAACCATAACACATTGTGGGGAGTCTAACAACTAATGCAGTCCTTCTTCCCTGCAGAAATCTCCCAAGCCTGTTCTTTACCATCAGGCTTTTTATCAGCTTTCTGGTCTCCTGAACTTTGACTAGAATCTCCTCTACAGAACAGCCTAAGCTGCTCCAGCTCTAGGCATCCAGGTGACATGTCTGAACCCTTCCAAACTCTGCCCACAAACCATTTCCATAAAGCCTCTGGAAAAACATGGTCAGGTATAGTCATAGCAAACGACCCCACCCTCGATACCAAACTTTGTCTTAATTACTTTTTCCCCTTTACTGAGACAAAATACCTGATGCTCATAGTTGGGAAAGGTTTATTTTTTACAGTTTTTGGAAGTTTTAGTCCATACTAAAGTTGGCTCCAAGGCAGGGCAGCACAGCAGGACTGCAGTTCATGGTGGCTGCAAACAGCAAGGTGGAAACTAGCAAGAGAAAGACATAGGGGTTTTTTTCCTGCCATTACACCGTATGCTGACTTCACCCCATGTGGGTGTAGCACTGACACCATCACTCCAAGCACTGGACATGAACAATCACAAATGCATAATGCAAACGCATGAGGCCTGGGGGGCACCAACATAAACCATGACAGACACTGAAGGCTGCCTTGCTAACATACGAACATCCCCTCCATTTTTCTCAGCATTCTAACCTCTTTGAGAAGGCCACAGGCAAATGATCTATTGTGAGTAGAGGTGGCATCTGAATAACTAAACTGATTCACTTTTTGTGTTATCTGTTCGGTACATGCTTCCAAATACCCACCACCGAGTCTCATTCCCAATGTCAGAAATTTCTTTTGATTCTCATTGCATTTATCAATACCTATTATGAATTTATCATGAATTTAGAAATGTAGGCAAATACCAGAAATTCAGGATTTCGCTGCCATCAGGAAGCAATATTGGCAAGTAAGAAAGATGTGAATTTCGGCTAAGCATCACAGACAGTTATAAACTCAGGTCCACCGGTCTGCTCTCAAGAGGAACAAGATCTGGGAACCACCACGCCTCAACTCCCTCTGCTCGACCGCTCACCTCAACTGAGTCCTCTCCAGCCCTGTCTCTTTGCACAAGAGGTCGTGGAGCTGTGGGAGAGACCACCTGAGCCCGCTCTCCAGTTCAGCGGGGTCGCGGACAGACCACTGCGGACCAGAGACACAGACAAAGCTGGAGGAACAATGCGCAGGCGCGCTGCAGACCCGAGGGCCTCAGCATAGCCACCCGCCAATTCCAGGCCCATCTTAGCCCCACTGCACCACACCCCGTACCGTCACCATCGTGTGCGCGTCGCCCAGATCCTTCCCACGCAGCACGGAGCGGAGAAGTGTGGAGAAGAGAACACCAGAGCCCAGAGGAGTGATTCTCAGCAGCGCGCCCTGGCTGCACAATTCAGCGCTCGAGATGCACAATTCAGCACTCGGCACCGGAAGAACCCGCCTTCTTCCACCTGACTGTGCCAATCGTGGGGTCCGCCTGCACTGATTGGCAACGCCCAGTGCCCGCCTCTTAATCAGTGATTGACTGCTGCCCATGGCCGATCCTCTGAGATGGGCGGGACGACAGAAAGGAAAGCCGGCTTGCGTGAGCACAGCGCTCAGTGGGTTGCAGCTCAGAGATTTTTAGAGCCGCATTTCTGCCAGGGTGAACACGGTCCTGGCCTGAAGTGGAGTTTAAGCGGCGTTTGTGCCTACCTTTTCAGAGTTACCGCTGTGAGTTTTTTTGTTTGAGTTTTGTTTTGTTTTTGAGTCAGGGTATGGTTATGTAGTAGAGGCTGTTCCTGAACTGACTGCGTCTCAGGCTGGCCACGAACTGGTAATTTTCCTCCATGTGCCACCCCAGTTCTTGGGTTAAAGACGTGCACCACCACCAGGCCTGGCTATTCCTGATTTCTGAATGGATTTGGTGGACTCTTCCTTTGTGCTGCGTTGCTAACAAGCGTGCTAAGTGAGTTAATATGCCCTGGAGAAATCAGTCATGAGAGATGGTCAAGAGTCCAGGCGAGGTCAGTGTACAATTGGAAAAGAGGGAGGACCTAAATGTTATGAGATGTCAAAAATTTGGAATGAGGTGGCTGGCTACATGAACAAGATTTCCATTCATTACCTCAAAAAATAGTTCCTGAAGTCACATGAAACCACTGATTAATGGCTGTTTGACTTTAAAGATGTGTAGGATAATACTAAAGCACTTTCAGGGTGTCGGGTTGTGTCATGAAGTAGCGACATTTGGAACTGTACCCCTTTTTCAGGTATTTGTTTTTTCTGTTTCCTGGTTCTTCTATGGTAATTCCCTTTCTTGACTCCCTTTCACTGTGATATTTCACAGTAGGAGACAAATAACAACAGAATGCAATGTCTGAAATCGAGTTAAAATTCTATTTTTATTCTTAAAGTTTTCATGTCCTGATTTGTACCCGCAATCCAGCCTCCACAAAAACTAATACAATTAACGTCTGGTGTCTGGACAAAATAAACCGCCAAATGCACAAACCCTTTCTTCAGAATGGCTTGTCAATTGGGGATTGGTTCTTACAATATGCATCATAGTGACCAGCTATGCATCACAATAACCATTGTGTGTGTGTGTGTGTGTGTGTGTGTGTGTGTATACCTGGGATCAAACTCAAGACCACCTGCTTGCAAGGCAGGCGTTTATGGCACTAAGCTAGATGCTTGGCCCAACCACACATTTCTATAAAACAAAAATAACAGGAACTGTAACCAGAGCTACTACCTGGGCAACTAAAAGACTATTTGTGCAAGAGTGCTTACAGGTAGAGCTGATCTTTTAGCTAAATGTTTGTGGTGCCAGTTAACATAAACAAGCTGTTTCTGTAGGGTTATATTTTATTTTTTTTCACTACTTAGAGCTCTTAGCCTGTATGTTGTATGTAGTCTTTTTTTAGTTATCTCTCTTACAAATGCAGGGCTGTTGTCGCTGCCAATGATCATCAGTAGGCAATGTCTAGGGATGATTTTTCACAGAAGGAGCCTACAAACTTTCATTGCCCTCTCAGCTCATTTAGGGAATGCCTCGGGCCACCCCAAGTAGGTGGAGATAGGCACTAAGTCTATCTGTGTATTTTTTAAATGGGCCAGTTCAGGGCCACTGACACAGATGCTGAATTGAGCTGGCTGCAGGGGTACCATTACCAGTTCTGTGGCTTGAGCTTGCAGAACATTCAGTGGGGGGAGGTCTGACTGTAATTAAGATGAATCTTTTGAGTGTACCAGGTAAAGTTTTTCTTGCTGGGACTGATGTTTCAGTTCACTGGATCCCTAGAGAGGGCTTTGGAGCTCAGGTTTGGTATCATTGGTGGCAGGTTTCCAAACAGCAGCAGGAAGTTGTAACAGGAGAGCTTTGGTCAAAATAAATTGGTCCAAGGTGATCACAGCATATTCAGCCTTTCAGACTCCATTTCTAACAGAATTACTTTCATCTGTAAACATGTACTCAGCATTTGTCAGGGAGTTTATTTATCAGTCATGGTCTGGTAGCCCCAACTTAGTGGGCAGATATGTGGCAGGATTGAGTAGTCCATAGATATTCAGGAAGTCAAGTACATGTGGCACATGGATAGCTGGGTGTCAGTCTAAGGTGAGCTTGCCGGCTTTCTTCATCAGGAGGACTGTGGCTAATAGAGCATGAATTCAAAGTAGGGACACAGCCTTAGTGACTCAAGCCAAGTATTTGTACTAGTTGCTCCCAGGAGCTGACAGTCTGAATGAGCATCATTGTTTTTGTGAAATCATATTCTATAGAAGACAGGAACGCCAAGAAATTTGTGGAGTTTCTTATAACCAGTTTATTCCAGATATTGCATCAGAGCTTTTGTGCCTTCTCAGCAGATAGGTTGGGTGTCATTAATCAAAAGTATAATAATATTTTGTGCTGGGAAACTAGTGAGGTCAGCTGAGACATCTTTGACAAAGAGAGTAAACAGTTTTTTTTTTTTTTTTTTTATTTTTTGAACCTCTGGGGGACTCAGCCCAGATTGGTTGACTTTTGAATCCAGAACTGGGATATTTTCACTTGAAGGTGAAGAGAGGCTGGCTGACAGGAGCCAATTGAAGACAGAAGAAGGTATTATTTAGGTCCAGGTAAAAAACCAATAAGGTAAAAAATTCTAAACAAACCAGTAGCAGTCAATGAAATTGAAGATGAAATTAAAACTTTATCCACAAAGAAAAGCCCAAGTTCTGATGAATTCACTTTTGAGTTCTACAATAAATTTAGTAAAGGTTTAGTGCAGCTACTTCTCAAACTCTTTAATGAAATGAAAATGGAAGCAATATTCCCTAATTCATTCCTGGAAGCAAGTATTACCTTGATACCAAAACTAGAGAAATATCCATGCAAAAAAGCGAACCACAGGCCAATCTCTCTAGTGAACACAGATGCAAAACTCCTAATAAGGTACTGGCACACAGATTGCAGCAAATCATCAAGCAGATTATACACTATGACCAAGTAGAATTCATCCTAGAGATGCAGAGGTGGCTCAACTTATGTAAATTAATAAATAATACACTATATCAACAGAGCCAAGAACAAATACCATATGATCATCTCAATAGATGCAAAAAAAGTACTTGACAAATTCTAATACTCATTTATCATAAAAATCCTACAAAAATTGGAATAGTTGGTCTTTATCTTGATCCAATAAAATCTATCTATGACAAACCAATAGTTAATATCATACTAAATAGACAAAATTTGAAAGCTTTCTATTTAAAACCAGGAAGAAGACAAGGATGCCTAGTGTCACTACCCTGTTCACTGTAGTTGTGGAAACATTAGCCAGAGCTATTAGACAAAAGAATGAAATAAAAGGAATCAGAATAGAAAAGGAAGAAATTAAGTCATTAAAAAGCTCCCTCAAAAGACTTCTAGATTTAATAACCAAATTCCGTAGCATAGCTGTATATAAAGTCAGCAAATATCAATAGCTTTTCTATACAGGAATAACAAACTCATTGAGAGAAAACTTAGGGAAACACACTCTTTCATTCCAAAACTCTGAATTCCAAAACTCTAGCATTCCAAAAACTGAAATGCCTTGGAATCAATATATTGAACAAAGTAGACAGTACTCTATTGAAAACAGCACTTTGAAAAAAGGAGCTCAAAGATTTTAGAAAGTATAAAGATGCCTCTTGTATTTAGGTAAGAAGAACCAATGTAGTGAAAGTAGCCATATTCCCAATATTATTATACAGATGCAATGCCATCTCAATCAAAATTTCAACAACATATCTCACAAAATTAGAGAAAATAATCCTAAAATTCTTTTGGAACCAGAAGTCACCTAACCTAGATTAGCAAAGGCAGTTCTGGGCAACAAAGGCAAAGCAGGGGGCATCAGAATTCCTGATTTAATACTGTACTACAAGCCAGTGTGATTGAAAAAAAAAAAAAACTATCATGGTACTAGCAAAACAAACAACCAGACTTGAGTATCAATGAACAGATTAGAAGATGTAGAAACAATGCCAGACATACTCAGCCACCTTATCTTTGACAAAGGAACCAAACACATTTACTGGAAAAAAGTTAGCCTCTTTATTAAATGGTTTTGCAAAAACTGACTTGCATATGCTGAAGATTAAAAACTAAATACATGTTCATTCACCATGCACTAAAGGAAAAATGGAAATAGATCAGAGATCTAAATATTAAACAAACACTATATGTGCTGGAGGATAGAAGGTACAACTTTTGAAAATACTGTTGTATGCAAAGACTTTCTGAACAAAATCACAATCACATAGGAACTATCACAAGGAACCAACAACTGAGATCTCACCTTATGAAAAAGCTTTTGTACAGCAAGAGAAACCAGAGTAGAGAGAGAACCCACATTGTGGGAAAAATTGCCTGTTGTTTCTCATACAAAGGAGTTTCAAAAACAGAACAGTTTCCAGTGCCCAAAAGGTAACAAAAGCAACAAGGGAACATTACTGTATCTCTCTGGCATTTTATTCATATCCGGACTACTTAGATCAGTTAGTGCTCACACTTTTAATACTAGTGCCAGTGAGCCTACCATTGCATCGTGAATCAATTCCAGTATCACATGTTCTAGATCCAGCCACCTCTGAAAAAGCCGTACCTATGACTACATGAGGCTTGTCACATTAATGAAACAATACAATGTTTGCACATTTGTGTTTTATTTATTTCACTAATGAATATGTTCTCAAGGTGCATCCATTTACCTGTAAAACTGTATAGTTTATCATACTTTATGGCTGAGCAGTACCCCATTGTATAAAAATACCACATCTTTTTTTTTTTTATTTTAAAGAGATTAAGACAAAATAGGACATAACAAAGCAGATCAGAACATAACAATGTAAGCCACACAATGTTTCACCAGGAGACAACCTGTAATTAACAGTAACTATAATAATGTCTCTTTCTTTGAAATAATTAACGATACTTCATATATAATAGTATCAAACATAACAAAACAGTATAACATCATTCAAGAGAATGAAAGTATTACAGAGCATTCAGAACCAAATAA